GAATGTCTTAGTAAGGGATGCAAACATTGTTACTCCATTTGAAGTTCCGCAAACCAAAGTGCTTTGTTTTTTTGGTTTTTTTTTTGATTAAGAGGGGTACTGCTAAAGGAAAAACTTGTACATTTGCCGTGCTACTGAGAAATGGCTAATGTTCTGTGAAGTCTGTGCCAGAATATATAAGTTGATTTTAAATTTGAAAAACATGTGGTAGGGATAAACAGTAAAGACATTAATAATGTGGGGTGAGGAAGGAGAAAACATCTAGTGCTCTTTTGTACCAGTTATACCTATTCCTGTTTATAGCTGTGTATGTGAAGGTGTTTTAATTGAACATTTTAGTAATTCTTATTCTTGAAGGACTCAAAGGTAGGTAACGAATAAGATGGGGTTTGGATAGTCCAGACCACTGAGAACATATAACTGCAAACCTATGGTAGTCCAGGAAATTACACACTTGTATTTCTTAATTACAGTCTTGTTAAAAAATAGAATCATGTGTGATCCGGATTTCCACAAAATATATTTAGACATTGGAAACTATTTTGAGCAGCATAAGCTATTTTGTTTATTTTCCACATGTGCCTACTTTGAGAAAAATAGTTGGTTATCTGGAGGAACAAATAAACTCCTTTATCTTTCTCTGTGTTTGGTTTCTACCAGTTGCTCTTTCCTAATATCTCTTCCTACCCTTACAGAGATAATTACTTAAAAAAGAAGATACGGCAAATGGGGGTCTTGGATAGTCAAAGAGTAGCTGCTTAATTTTAAGAACAGTGAATTACTTAAGAACAATGCTAAATTTGAGCCCTTGACACATCAGCACGGCTAGCTTAACTGGAAACATTCATTGTTCTTCGTGTAAATCAGAGCTCATTGAAATGTGTACATGAGATTTGTGGCTGTTTTTTCTTCCTGAGATAATTGACTGCTTGCTCTTGAGCTGTTAGGTAAAGTATATGCACATACATGTACGCATATTCGTATGTGCACATATACTTGCTAAAGATAAGCTCTTGGGCAGAGCTCTTTTTCTCCTCAGTTAGAAGGGAAAATATATGAATAGTTGTCTTCCTTTTTCATTAACTTTACCACTGACCTTTATTGCAATCTGCAGGGAAGCCTGAAAAATTGGCACAGACAAGTTGGATATCGCCTTTTCTTTTGTGGTCTGGCAGAACTCCTAAATTGTTAGGAAATGAGACTTGACAGTTTGTGTTATTAATTGGAGAACAATCTAACCATATTATGACTGACTTCAATCTAATGCCCCACATCAATTGACTCTTGTCATCCTTCAAGGATGCATCACTTTTTTTTTTTTTTTTTTTAAATGCTATCACTCAAGACTTCAGGAAATGTCATTATTTGAGAAATATAGAAAGTAGAGCCGACAAGGCTTTAAAACAGTTCTGTTCTTATGTGGAATGTAGTTTATATAATGAAGTAGTACCAAAGACTGTGATAAATGAAAATAAGTTTGTTGGCAGAACTGATTGGCTGCACTAAATCTGAAACAACCTGCTGCGTAACTATTTTATTCAGTTCAGCGTGTTTTCTAGCTGTGACAGGGCCACTCTGGTTGTTAAAAGTACAAAAAGACATGTATCTTCTCAAATATTGATGTGCCAGACTTTTAATTAAATACATTGATCATATTTAATTCTCTGAACCTAATTATTTCCTAAATGCTACATTTATTTTGTTAGCAAAGCACATGAATATTTACTGCAGTAATTTTGAAAAGCGTTTGGTAGAAGTATTGTCTCCAAAGCAGTGCTTATTATCATCCCAAATAAATAGCTAGTTCTTATTGCAGCTTTAGTAAGCAACAGCTGCCTAGCTAGATTTGAGATTTGAGCTTAAAACTGAAATTTGTTTTCTTTTATCATACATAAGTAGAATTTTCCAGTACTACAACTGAATGTTATTTAGTTTGAATTAAAATCTACTGAAACAGCTCCTTTGTGAAAATAGCTTTCAGACAGCTTTTGTAAAAATTCAAATTAAGGGAATAATGAAAGTGAGACCCTAGATTTTAATTTAGTTAAAAAGTGATTTAATTATTTTATTTAGTAATTTCACATCTGGCAATTTTTATTTTCTGTTTCTCAAGAGTGGTGATCTGCTGTTAGATTTTTAGATTCTCTTGAAAGAAAACTCCAGTAATGAAGGGTGATACTCTGCTTTGTAGAATTCTGTCAAGAACTACTCAAAATTATCAGTTTGGTTTGGGTTTTGTTTTTTTGTTCGTTTGTTTGTTTTGTTTGTTTGTTTTTCGTTTTTTGTTTTTGTTTTGGTTTTTTTGTTTGTTTTTTTTTTTTAAAGCAACTAAACTATTCCTCACTAAAAGTCTCTTTCATAGTGTTATAACTTTGATATTGGTGGCATTAAGGCCTTAGACAGCTCTTAGCAAAGAAGCCAGTGGTACATCGGAGTTGCTTGTCTCTGCCTTTTGACAGTGAAAGCACAGTTTTAACAATTATTCAGGGGAAGAGTGGAGACGTAAAGACACAGCAAGTCAGAAGAGCAGCATGCACATGTTCTTCCCTGCGCCCCTGTTGCTGTGGGTTTTTTATGTGTGCAAGTGTGGTGCCACTCTTGGTTCCCCATTCTTCTATTTCTGTGAAAATTGAGATAAAAGAGAATAAGTGAAAGGAGCAGGTACTCGCCATGGATGGTAATTGTTAGCCTGTTTCCCGCTGTCTCTTCCCACTCATCACTTCATTCCATCTGCCTTAGTGGTGTAGTAGAGTGTAAATATTTACATCATCTCAGTTTGCTTTCATGTTCCACCCCCAACCAGCACTGTGTGCTTCACCACACCCTCCTTAGGCCCCCACATAGAATGGCCTCTGTGGCGTAGGATCACTTGTCAGTCCATTTGGCTTGCCCTTTTAGACTTGATTTGGCTTGTAGATTGCTACCCAAGAGTCCTAGCACTGGCGGATACTGCCTTTAGGAGATCCTTGACTTTATTCTTCTCACCAGGTGAGATATCTTAGCTGTTTCTGCTTCTACTATAAAATTAATTCAGGTTATCTGTTCTTTCAGCAAAGTATTTGCCCTCTCCTTTGTCCCTTTTGGAAGGTCAAACTCAGACTCATCTGAACTGTACTCTTGACATTAGTATGAAATTTATAGTCTTTACTGTTTTCCTAAGAATTTATAGGATCAATTAGAAGAAAATTACAAAAATAAGTTATAATAAATTTATGTTTTGGGCAAAAGTAGAATTACAGTTAGAAATTCCAGATCCAGTGATGCTGTCTTACTGATACATCTTTGTTTTAAAAAGGAAAAGTGTTTTAAAAAGAGTAAACAACAGTGTAAGTAGCCATGGAGAAGGATTAGTTTAGTACTTGCCTTTCTAAGAATTGCATGCTTAAGCTATGGTGCAGTTTGAGATTTTCTTCTTGCCCTTTTTAGTGAATGTATCCAACTCTTACTCACAAAAGCAGTGACAAGCTCTTCTACATTCCATCGTAACTGAGGCTCAAAACACTTGTGGTATTGATGAAGGCTACCAGGACATATAATGGAGAATTAGACCTTAGTGTGAAAGCTGTATATACTTGAAGAACTGGACCTGAATATTAACAGATTAAAACAAGTGGATTATGGATTAAAATGAAAATATGAGTTCAGAACCTCTTCATTTACACTGTCCTTTGCTTGAGATTTGATAGAGGAAATGGTGTTAGACATATATGAGAAAATGTTTTCTTTGGCAAATATTTATTTTTTTATTTTCTTTCCCTTGGAGAAATCTGTTATCTTCTTTCCTCCAAACAGAATTTAGTGCAGTTTACCCTAATTTGAATAAACAGATATAATTTTTTTACAATCCCAGTCCAGAATGCTGGAAGAAAATGTTTAGGGATAAGGAGTTCCAAAGGCCAGTGATGTGCTCAATTAAAATAAAACTTGTTTTTAATTTAAAAGTTCATTTCAATTAAATTAATGTTCAATTTGCATATGCCATCATATAAAACTAGTAAATTCTTGAAATTTCCCTAGCGAAATTAATGTGATGTACTTATTTTCTCTGTACTTCTGGGAATGTCGTACTAGAGAGTGCTCCACCATCATTTAGTCACTGGATTTTTCTGGAATCTGATCACAAGGGAATACGTTTTTAGTCCAGAGGGGCGCACAGGTCAGCTTTTCATGCCTTTCACATTATGGACTCCTGGATGCTGTACACATACAGCAAATAAAGGATTTGATAATGAAAATGCTAAGGTCACACAGAGACAGAAAACTGAAGTACAGTAGCCATATTCTTCATAATTTCTTGGGTTTATTCACATTCACAGTATATACAGTACACTAAATCTGTATTTCTCTACTTTTTACTGGTAAAAGAGAATATTTAGCATGAAGCAAAAGTCTTTCAGAAAGTGTGGCATGTTACTTTGTGGGTTTGTTTGTTTGTAATATTGAGACCAGCTACCTGTGAAGCTGCTAGGAGAGAAGGGTATCACCGTTAGTTATCATGTTACTCCTAAAAGGGAAGGATAAGGATATTTCTGATCTCTGTAAGATGAATTTAAAAAGCATGGTAGTGTGTGTGTGTTTAAAAAAAAAAGTCATTTTTTTTTTTTAAATTGTGAATGAATCTGTCATGGGAGAAGGCTCTTTAAAATTACACTTCAAACTAAAGAACCTATGGACAATTTGTAGGAAACTTCGCTGTTTCCAAATTTTAGTGGAGCTGGATCTGTATGTCAGCAGACTAGGTTTTTTTTTCCCTTCCGTTAAGCAATTGTATTATTTTCTTATGTACCAAGAACACATACAGTTCTTGGCATGTTTCCCTGGAAGCTTGGCAGTTTGTTTACAGAATAACATTTAATTTCTATTTTACTTGCTTTGTTGTAGAGTATGGTATCTAAGGACGAGTAGAATAGATTGTGATAAGTTTATCTATCATAAGTTTTTGAGTGACTCCTTGTTTCTGCCAAGCACAGCTAGCCTCCCATTTTTTTCTGTTTCTGCAGGCTGCCTTATATCGGCTGAGTGGGGATTGGAATCCTTTACATGTTGATCCAAGTTTTGCTGCTCTTGGAGGTAAGATGAGGGATACTATTGTATCAATATTTGGATGAATTATGATGTAAAGGTATTTTTAATCTTTTTTTCACTTAGTACATCTTTAACGAGCTATTGTCAACCATTAGATGTCTCTAAGTGCTATGGCACTTTAGAGCACTGCTTCTTGTAGCTAGGAATGCGGAATGATGCTTGGGCTTCACCTGCAATGGAAACCTGCCTCCTCCACAGTTTTCCTTCTAGAGCTTATTTGTTGCCACTATTGCACCTTTACAATCCCTGTTTCATAAGCAAAACTAATGGACTATCAAAAGCTTCAGAAGGACTTAACTGAATTCTTTGTTAGGTAGTTATTTCCACCTAAATAATCTTGAGATTATGTTGGTCTCGGTGGAATTTTTTGTGCTTTTGTATAGTCTTCCCAATCCCAGTAAATCTCAGGAGGGCAGGAGAGGGGGAGTTTGTTAGCACTTATTTCCCATAAAATTGCTTAACTTCACCCCTTGCTAGCAGTATCTTTTTCATTTACGTAATGCTACATGCTAAAGCAACAGACCATAGGCTGTATCAACCAATTCTTGCAGAGATGTAATTACTAACAAAGACTCTGTTTTCTTAAATTTCTGTTGTAAAGATATTTTTTGGAGTTTTTTCAGGCCTTGCTAGTAGTATAGTGTGATTATTCAAGGGAGACAATTTGATTTACTTATTTTCCTGAATATGTATGCTGTCATAAAAAATTTCACATGAAGATAGTGCTGTGTAATAATTAGTCTGCAGTTTTCTGGTGACTTCTTTTTAATATAGAAGTATCATTGTATGGTGGTCTTGACAAGATAAATCGAGCAAAGCTATGCTTCCTTGTTCAGATCACGCTTCAGACACTTTCACAAATCGTCTCTTTTCATAAATACATACTAATTGTTTGGTTAACTCTGTTTTGTATAATTTAATGTAAGTTTGTGTTAATAAATAATGATAATCAAATATCAGAGTCCATAAGGAGATTTCCCTGGTTTATTAAACCATTCTGTTTGTTTGTTCATCTGATAATTTTGGATCAACATTTAGATGGAATCACCCAATCCCTCTTGAAAGTGCTGGAGGAGAAAAGCACATGTTTATAATTGAAACCCCAGTGTTTAAAATAGTAATGATAATCCTATTAAAACTTTACAAAAGAAGAGGAGTGGAAATCTTCTGCCTGCTCACACAAAGAGCACTAGCATTTAGACTCAGTGAAAAATGAAATTAAATCTGTAGGTGAAGTAGTCTTGCTGTCTGAATAGAAAACTGACACACTAAATCTCAGAACTGTATCAGTCACCTACTGAAATACCTATACTTAAATGTAGGTTTAAACAAAGAAGAAAATGACTGTAGATGTATTCCACAATTTTTTTTTCTAGTTATGCAAAAGCTCTTTTCTTTGGGTATATTCACACACTTTCCAGTCTTTAATCTATGTAAATGTTCTCTTTGACTGGCTCTCACCAGGGTACACTGGAAGCAAGCATTCAGCATAATACACTCAGGTCAATTTCAGGATTATTGCTAAACCTTCCTGTGGGTAACGTTTCAGAGGAGGTATACTACCTGAAAATACATGTTTATATTCTTGTGCCTTTATTCCTGTAGCTTGTGAGTATTTCCAAGTTATTAGAAAGGGAAAGCAACATTTCCTTTGTTTTCATTTTAGTTTAGATAAAAAGTAACTTGATTGCCTTATGGATTTTTCTTTGAGTATGCATGAGTTTTATAAAGAAAATACTGGGGAGGACATGACCATATATGTCTGTCTGTTTCTGAGTTCTGAAAATAGTGGTGGTTTTTGGTTCTTTCATGGTGAATTGAGCTAAGCTTTTAAAGAGATAAATGTCATTATACCATTTTGTATGAGAGATACTGAATACTGATATTGTAACAATAATGCCAGTAGTCTGTTTTAAAATTGATGGCATGGTATCTCTCAGCTTTAAGAACTACTCTGTGCACAGTGTACAAAAAAGGGAGTGCTATTAAAAGTATGCATATTCAGATATTTTACAGGAAAGAAGTGGCAGAATGATCAGAGTGGAATACTTAGAGCAAGAAAGCAGACTCATTTTCCTTTTAGCCTGTCCTTCTGTCACATCTCCGCTTCTAACCTAATGAGTCAAAATTTCTGTTTCTGATCCTTACTCCTACTAGTCTTGTTCTCCCTTTGGGCCATGACTCAGAATTCCCATCTTTCCTGGCACTGAGTCCTAGTGGCTTTTTGTCTCTGTCTTGAAGGTGGTTTCTTCTTCTTTTACATCTTCTGATTCTCTACAGTCTAGGCTTCCTTTGTTTGTTTGGTTTTGCTTTTGCTTTCTTTCCTCTCAGCTGTTGTGCCTTGTAACAACTTTTCACCCTCTGTAGATGCTGTGAGGAGCTGTTCAGAGCTTAGGAAGAACAGGCTCTGACAGCAGAGTGGCAGATGAGTTCCAGGCAAAGCAACTGGTTTCAGAGCCAAAGCTGGACAGACGTGTCTTGAATCTGTGGGCTGTTGCCAGTGTGATCAATTACTGTTCATGTGCCCTGTCTGGTCAGAGCAACCTGTTAAGGGATCAGGATATAGTCAGTACAAGAAGCATCTTTGAAACTTTACTGTTGCACTTTAGCAAATCTCATGTCAGTTTTCAAAGGTTTATTTTGTCAGACTTTGTCAGGGCTGGAAAAAGGTTGAGTGCTAATATGAAGTATATGAACCTCTGCCAAAGTTCAGTTCTGCTCCAAAGCATAGAAGTGCGAACAACCCTGACCAAAAATGTCAGTATAAGCAAAACACTGTAAATCTTTTTTCCTCTTCTTTTTTCTTTTTTTTTCTTTTTTTTTCTTTTTTTTTTTTTTTTTTTTTTTGGTTAGATGTGGTCAAAATGCCTGAAATCTTTTCTTTATTTAGAAGTGAAAAAAAACCTGAAAAGTTAATCCTAAAGTGTGCACCATATTTGAAAATTTTTGGCAATTGTAAACAGGAATTAAAACTGAGAAGCATCAAATAATCTCGGTATCACCACTCCTTAATCATTACAATACCTCTTACCCTTGATATGCATACTTTCATGTAACTATGTATCTGTTGTGCTTATGCACACAGCCGATCTCCTTATTTTTCATTTTATCGCCTCCAGAGACAGGGCCTAAGACTATGCAAGACTTGTGAGTCTTACATAGCAGAGGCATTGTTGGAGCACCATTCCTCAGAGAGCATTTTCCTTTGCCTCTAAGTAGAGGAAACAATAAATGGTAAGACACTTTTTCAGCGAGATAGGTTAGGTTAAAAGAAAAGGATTAAGACCATTATTGGAGGAAAATACTGTGAATAAAATACAGATATTTGTAGAAGCAACATGCAAACTTGTAATATTACAAATGCTAAAATGTTACTTTTTGAAATAGGATTTAAGAAGCCTATACTTCATGGACTATGCTCCTTTGGATTTGCTGCTAGAAATGTTTTGAAGCAATTTGCAAATAATGATGTGAACAGATTCAGAGCAATCAAGGTCTGTGTGTTCATTCTTTGCAGTTATTTTCTTGGTTTTTTTCTGGTTTTAGTGACAAAAAAAATCTTAGGATGGGAAAAGGCTTTTGCACTGTCTTAACTGCCACAATTGCTTTTACATATTGGTGCATGAATTTTAACGACCCTATCTAGCATTTTTGCCTAAATATTTAGGCTTTCTCCATTGCTAGGTTACTGATTTTTCTCTTTGCTTTTTCTCACATCAATAGTGTGTATGCTTTAAGTTTTGCTTGTACATATTACACCCTCACTTTTTTTTCTTTTTTTTTTTCCTTAGGTTCGCTTTGCAAAACCAGTCTTTCCAGGTCAAACTTTACAAACAGAAATGTGGAAGGAAGGAAATAGAATCCATTTTCAGACCAAGGTCAGAACATACTCACCATGGTAGGCTTTAGAGAAAGATGTGTTCGTTAAAAGACTGGGGGTATGAAGGGAAGCAAAAAAAGTGGCTTATCAAGCACACCATTAAAGAAGGTTTTGTAAGGAAATTAAGTGAATAGAACTAAATAAAAACAAAAAAAGGACATAGCCTGACACAGAAAGATTTAGACTACTAAGATTTAGACTATTTCAGTATTGACAGAGAAATAATAATGGAAGTTCTCAGTAAATGGAGTTTATCCTACCAATCTTGAGTAATTTTTACCCAGACAAAGAGAAATGAAATCATGCATGTTACACTTCAGCTTCCAGTGCTCACAGTCTTTAATTCTTTTTCCAAATTGTCATGGTTCTGAACCCCTGGCTGGCAGACAAACACCACAACCACTCACTCACCCTTAGCCTAGGACTCAACCTGAGGTTTAGGGTTGAGACCCAAATTGGGCAATGTTATATTCTATAGCATGCATGACATGCCCATTTTATAGATGAGGATCTGTCTGGAAGTTTTCTCTCTCTCTCTTGGAGCCGCCTCTCTCTGGGTCTCTGCTCTCTTGGGATCATCTCGCTCTCTCGTTCACCTCTCAGTCTCTCAGATGCTTGGGTTCTTATCTTTTTTTCTGGGATTGTAGTTTTGGGACTCTCCCTGCTTCCGGATCGTTAGCTGGAAACGGGCTGAGTGGTGAGCAGTTATCACTGTGTATCTCTCATTTGTGTATT